CCCCCCCCCCCCCGGGCTTGCCATAGAGTACATTGTGTTGAAATTTTTGGGCACGATACCTCTGCTATTGTATTTCCATTTCCCAGTAAACATTTCTTGCTGTTCAAGCCAAATCTTTGAGATCCAAATTAACTTAAATTTCTAGTATTGTTGTTAAATGTATCCCTGCTAACAACTAAAGATTGAATGTCACGTATACGTAAAAGCTACATTAAATTGTTCTATTTAGACTTGTCCTACATTTAACACAATTTCTACAAACAGCACGCAACAAAAGCAGAGTCGGATGAAATTAAATCCCTTCATCATTACAAGAAATGCGCATGTCCCACTAGATCCTTTTTGTTTGCCATGGCTGCTAAGAAGGAAACATTTTTCTTTTTTCAAGAAGTTGTTGGCGGCCATGATTTGCGATTTTCAAACCAAGGATAGGAGCAAGTCCTGATCTAAGTCACTGATACCGCTACTTCAGTGTAAGAGAAGCATGGACGCGCACAAGTCAGCGCTTTCATTATTTTATTTATAAACGGGTGTCGAAATGAAGTGGATCTCATTTTGTCAAGAACGTCTATGTTCGCGCCGCTTCGAAATGTTAGCTTGTTAACAGCCTGTTTGTGGGAGGAGCGTTTCGTGAGGACACAAACTATAATTCTAGGTTTTCACATGACGTCACAAAAGTTCAAACTAAGAAACTATCGCTTCTTCTGAGTTTCTACCTTCATGTGGTATTACAGCACCTTAAAACCTTTACACAACAAATTTTCGGTTCAAAAGGCTTATTAGTTTTGCGACACTGGGCCAGGTTGCATAATACCTTCTTAAGATAAGAGAGCTCTTAACTTTTGTTCTGGAACAATAACCTATTGTTTTGAAATAATAGTTACGAGTTCAAAAAGTGCTTAAAACAACGACGTCAACCACTCCTCCCTCCAGCAAAGTCGAAGGTATTTTCGTGCCGAAAAAGTCATCTGGCTACGGCTTTTATTTGCAACTGAATATGCCTATCCAGCAGATAAAGTAACAAAACGTTCCGTTTATCGTTCACCTTAAAAGAATATTTCCTACAGCCCAATTTGTACAGCCACCCCTAGCCTAGAAAAATTGCCTTTGACATCCCAGTTAAACTGGCCTTTCGGCGATTCTTGACTAAAACCCCACTCTAACAAAAGAAAAATCTAAATATCGCCTGAATTACTCAGTCCAAACGCTGACATTCTCCTCTCGACATTCCTCTGACCAACTCCCAGCATAACGCTGATTTGCGATGCGTTGAACCCTTAGTCCGATAAGAAAGACAGTTGTTCCCTCGGTATTTCATAAGGAGGCCTTCCTCGGGTCCCAGTGCAAAATGCTGGGGCCGCATATCCATCACTTGCCACTACATTATGATTCGCCTCAAGCTGTACAACACTCTTGTACAAACCTCTCATCGTATTAACGATCTCATCAGGCACTTCGAGATTTACGAGCATCCTACTTATATAGTCTAGTCTTAAGCCCGGGGGGGGGGGGGGAGGATGTCCCATTATGGGGGTTATATGGTTATTGGCGGGGGTGGGTGGAGGGGTTGTAAAATGTTTTTGTTGTGGCGTTGGGAGCGGGGGGGGGGGGGGGGGAAGTACTGCCATATATGGGCTATATAGGTATGTGCCGCTGTGAAGGGTATGGTTTTCAAACAGTTTACTCTGAGATAGGGTATATAAATCAGAACATTTGGGTCTAGAATAGGGTATCATTTTTCAAGAAACTGATCAGTTCGTTGAAGATTTTATCTAGACTAGGGAAACAGCTACTCTAGGATAGGGGGGATTTGGGGAGTTTACTCTAGTATAGGGTAGCAAAATTTAGCTGAACTAGCTCTGGTATAGGTTAAGGGTTCCAGGGTCCCATTTGGGAAGTTTATCTAAGTATAGGTAAAAAAATTTTACTGGAATTGCCCTTGGTAAAGTTTAGGGGTCCCGGGGCCCCTCGGCCACTCCCCCCCCAAAAAATTCCAAAGGACCCCCCCCCCCCCCTTCCCGCGGGGTCTTAAGACGATTGAGCCGATTTCACAGCCATTCTCTGAATTCTCTAACCGCTCGATGTGAGTTATGAGGTCAATTATGGCTTCCACAACGCTCGGAAGGTCCATCATTTTGTGTAAGGACTATGGGACCGGAGACTGTAAATAACCCCTGCGTCAGCGTTTGACATATGATACATTTTGGCGGACATTTTACGCTGTCCTCACAACGAGGTCAAGAATACGTAGCGATGAACTTTAATCGCACGGTAATTATTCACGACTCATCGCGTCTGATACGAGTTCAATATCTTTTTAACATCGGACTATAAAAAGAGATGATGAGATTTATATATAACGCCGAGCACTGAATACTGAAATTGCAAAGTTGGGTTTGGTTGTTCAACTGTCATGTACGTTGTAGTATAAGCAGAATGCTGCGCGCTCAATTTTCAAGAACAAGTAATCATGTTAAATGTTGGGAGTTTAAGTTGAATTATTAACTTTAAATGTTGAAACGTGAAGTTGAAAGTTGAGTGCTATAATTTAATGTTAGCGGGTCAAGTTGAATGTTGAGGACTCAAGTTGATTTTTGGCGGGGTTTGAACACCATAACAGTATATGAAAATAATATTGATCTTTACCAGCTTGAAACCGTTTTTTATATTATTCTTTAATACTACGTCTAGGTCTAGTCTCTTTACTTTTGCCCTTTTCTATGTGCTGTATGCCTCGATCCTCAAACTTGGGGGAATCACATATGGAGGAAACAACAACAACAATAACAGAACAAGAATTTCTGGTCTTCCCACCTAGTACATGACAGATTAATCGAGATAAGCCAGTGAATGGGGAAGACATTCTCCTCGGCGGCACTAAAAACTGGAATCCGGAAACGGAAACGGAATCACGGAAACGGAAACGGAAACGGAAACAGAATACGGAATCAAATATCAATGATAGCTAGCTAGCAGAAAATTAAACAATTTCATATTGCATAATTCAGTACAATCCAAAGAGAATCTGTTTTAGTTTCCTTGGCAGTTCCCTTAAATGTATTCTTGTTATTGTGTCTTGATAAGATTTGCCGTAGTGTGGTTATTGCACTGCAAGGCCGATGAAAGTAAATTTACGAGTAATTTTTTTTCACGAGTTTATGGGTTGAATAATACAGTTAAATATTACCTCTGTAGCTAAATGTCAAGAATAGTAGTAGTTGGCTTCAGACCACACCACGTGATTGTCCCCAAACTGAATACTCAATGCATGACCGACCCTTGATGTGACCACAGTTCCGGTGTTTTAGCAATAAGTTCAACTTTTTCGCCAAGCTGAATACTGATGGGATACTGGTGTACCGGTAATTGAGTTTACGTTGACGTCCGTATTTTTGTCGAAGAGGCTTATTAAAAATGGGGCATTATTTTGATGTAATCAGTTGCGGAATGAAGCAAATGCATGCACAATTCTCTCTTCTCTTTGGACTCCACAATACCATGGTTCTCTTGAGTAAGTTGTCTTGATAAATAAAACTGAACACTGTTGAAGAGAACCCGGAAAAGACACTCAGGAAAAACTTGACGGCGACGCCTTTCAGTTATATAAACGACGCCTCTGTCGATTTAAACGAAGTCTGTCTCCATATAACTTACCTGTTTCTTAAGGAACTAGCTTTTGTCAGTGACGTTTTTGTCCTCGCTTTGCTGTCCTATGACAATTTGCATCCATTGCCGGAAGTGGTATCAAGAGTCTTTTCACCAGAATCGACTCCCGTGATATAGCAGTACCAGCAGTCTCCTCTCACACCTAATTTATTCATTTATGTCTTTTTTTTTCTGTCATTTTGCCATTGCTAACATTTTTTTTTTCAAGTCGATCGCTTGGATCGGAACCTTCTTTCACGGATTCCGTATTCCGTTTCCGTTTCCGTTTCCGTTTCCGGATTCCGGATTCCATGTTTTAGTGCTGCCGCGTTCTCCTTCATTTGCAACCGTAATTCCTGTTCAAGGGAATTTTCAATCCAAATTTTACGAAAAGATGAATATTTGAATTTCATATATTTTTACTATGGGATGAGGTCCCTGTAACTTAGGCTACATTAAATTGGCTACATTCATGTGGAAAAATTTAGATGCCTAGTTGTTCAAAGATTTGAATGCCAAAATTGAGGTCAAATATGTAGCCGGTACGGTCGAAAATTTGATGGGTGGGCTGTGAACACCATAACCATCGAAATTTTTGTACAGTAAAGACGTGGTAGTATGGATGCATGGTAACTCAGCTCAGAGATGCCATTTTGGATCTGCTTAACCTAGAGTATTTGTCCCTGAACCCATGCTGATCCCTGTCCCTTGTACCACTTGTGAGTGATCATTTTTAACAGTCAAAGACAAGTTTGTCAGTTACGTGTAACTCATGCAGGATGAGGAGATTTTTCAAACCATACTAGAATGATGAGCACAATTCAGTCAATGAGGCCAGAGAAAAAGGAAAAAAAAAACATGTAACATTGGGTCAAAAATTTCCATGATAATCTTGTTGCAGTACCCGCCTACCTTTCCTTTCATCTAATTTTAATATCCTGAAAGCTTTCCCCAAAATTTTTCCCACCGAATTAAAGACAAATGTACAGAGAAGAAAACAAATGAGGCAAGAAAAGGCAAAAGAAGAGGAGAGGAGGAAAAGTGGAAAGATCCTGAAATTGGAATTACTTTCTGGGCATGCCCAAACTTGACAGAAGCTAAAATTTTGCATCTGATATTAAGGCTGTGAAGTGTACAACCTCTTAACAGCCTTTTTGGTATTTATCAATTAATGAAAGAGGCTGAGTATCTTACGAAGAATTATGGAGATTGAGGAGGGTGTTTTCCTGTAGTGGATAACACCCTCCGAGAACTCCATAATTCTTCATATGATATGAGAGCCGAATTCAATAATAATTTTATTTTATTATTCAATTTTATTATTCGTTCAAAATAATTCCTAGTTTAAAAACATAGCTAAAACATGGTTACCTCCATCGATGTTAAGTTCATCTTCGATAGCGCACATTTAAGGTTGGTCAGCCCCGCAAATATTCTCCAAATAGCAGATGTCGCCCTTTGAGTTGTCTTCTTGCTGTTCTGGCCATGCTTTTAGCTATTATTTCACCTAGTTGTTACTCTTGAAACAAGTGAAATGTCTGCCATTTTTGTTTTCACAACTAAATCAACTCAACCTCATCCTCAGGTCTTCTCGGTTAACGGTGCATTTACCTGCAAGGAAGCTGCACTTTTGACGTCGTCGGTTGATTAATCCCAAAATTCTTCCAAATCTGGTCATCAGTAGCTGGTTATGGTGAATTATGTGTGTGCTTTTAGCCAATCAAAATTGGGGAAATATTTTGAATGAATAATGATAAAGTTTTACTCCTTTATAGCCAGACTGAGACCAGAACATCACTTAACTAGCTTCAAAACACGGTTTTTGGCAAAATTCCCAGTACTTAGTGAATGGTTTAAATGAATTTGCTTAAGCAGGCCTTTGCGCAATGTACATGTGAGTGAACCGTCTGATCTGGTCAAATTTTTCAGCCAGTTGAAAATTTGTCTGGTGCAGCGTGAACATAACTTTATACTACACAAATGATACTGTGATTCCCAAAAAGGCACTAGTATCCAAAGCTAGGCTGCGTGTGACCTCCTTCGCCTGTAAATTAAAGTAGTAGGTGTAAGGACATTAATTCACTGGCTTCTTCTGTGGGGGGCCCTTCTGTTGAAGCTGGCTGGGGTCTCTTATTTATTCGCCACCTTTAGAGTTGCTGTTTTACTATAGCTTAGTAAATAATTATGTGCTTATAATGCTTACTTTTTGGTAGCAATAAATTCCTTTCTCTTTTACTGTGTTGTGGAAGAAATTGTGGGATTCCACTTTGTTGACAGTTGTTGACACAGTCACTCAGTTGACTACATTCAAATAAATGTTTTAAGTTAAGAATTTTTTTTTCAAAATGCAATGTCCCCTATAAAAAAAGGAGAGTATATTCTCACTCAACAGTATTTTTAACACACCTCTGTGGTAAAATGTCACCTTTCAATGAACATATATCAACCATCTCAACCACTGTATGCTTCTAAATCCTATATCAGGGGATTATTATTACCCAGCAAAAACCTCTCTCAGTTGGGTTCTGGATCGTGGATGTTGTATCTCAAATTGTTGGTGGCTAGGAATGTGGTCAAAAATACAAACAAAAACCTTTATACCTCCCGTTTTTACTGCCCAGCATAATAATAATAATAATAATAATAATAATAATAATAATAATAATAATAATAATTTCCATGTGCATTAGTGCATAATTATACTTCATGAAGTCAAGGCTCAGTCATATGTCTTTTCCTAAACAGGGTATGTATCATGAATACCTCAGATGATCAGCAGCCTTGCACCTCATCTGTAATCATTCGTGTGCCTCTCAGTTCTGATCAATTGGAATGCCAGAAGATGATTAGAAGAAGTAGTGATGAGATTCTGAGCCATATAACATTCCTTTATCTATCAAAGTTGTCATGGTATGTTGTCATAACAACTGTCTTTTCGGCAGCTGCAGCCACATCGTGGTCATTGTGGATCTTTGTACTATATATTATTGTGTTTGCTGTTGTTGTTGTGCATCCTTATTTCAAATGGCGATCTATGTTTAAGCGCTGGCAAAATTCAGTGTTACAGGCAGAAATTAGGGACAGTGTCAGCTGTCATACTTGGGTGGCCGAGTAGAACAGTAAATTTGTTGGAATGGTGAGACTCTGTCACATTGACCCATGTACTGCTGAACTCAAGCACATGTTCGTTTTACGGAGCTGTAGAGGAATGGGAATCAGTAATAAACTGCTCGGTGAATTAATCAGATATGCTAAAAGAGAGAGGCTAAAAAAGGTCGTGTTGTTTGTATCAAGTGCGCAGACACCTGCGGTACAACTCTATAAGAAGCATGGTTTTAAAGTGGTGTCAACAGAGAGGCCATTTTCTATAAACATGCTTGTGTTCGAGTAGCTTAACCTTGAGTTGCAGCTTTGAGGAAGATACTGGGGTGCCTTGTGATGGATGCCTTCCCCTCCAACGGGAAGAAGTCAGTTGGGTTAGGTTATCGT